GAGGGGCACCCCCCCTCTTGGCCCAGCCAGGTCTCCGTAATACCCGCCAGGTCCACCTCCCCCTCCGATACCAAATCATAAATGAGGGGGCCTTTATTAACCGTGGACCTGGCATTACACAGCATCAGCCGAAAGCCCAGGCCCTGAGATCCTAAACCCCCTAGGTTGCAAGAAGAGCCATGGGGGCTGGAGCGCGCCACAGCTCGTAAACAGCGGGTGCGCCCTCCCCTAGTGTGATATGGCCCTCTGCTCCCGCCATATCTACCCCTCCCATACACAGTCTTAATAGAATTGCCCTCTATTAGGCAGACCCTCCCCCCCTCCCCAATTCCAGGATCTACGCCCACCTCGGCGAGGTGGACGTAGCTGGGCAATGAATATAATCACAGATTATATTCATTGCCCAGCAGCAGCAAGAAGTGCAGCCCTTGCTCAGATATATTGTTCAGGGAAAGATCATAAAAGGTTCACAATATTTCCTACTGTTTAATAGGTTTGATGATACACTTCATGTCACAAAGGCAATAACATTTGCCTTTTCTGAGGGGAGGATTTTGGGCATCAGGGGACTTGGAATGGGAAGGGAGTCAGAGAACCTAAGGCATGTCCCATGGCTCATTAAACAGGAATAGCTGTAAGCTAGATGGCTGGGATAGGAGGTAGCATGATCTGAAGGCTGGATAGTAGGAAAAGATTGATGTAGTGATGGCCAGAGAGAAATATTATGGGAGGCACATAGCAAACCATTGCAGGAGATTAGAAATCTGATGCCAATCCCCTTTTTGTCCTTCAGGCTCATCTTCAAGTCTTGGTGGAAAATTGTTGGACATCTTATCCTTAGGCTATTTTTAAATGTATTTATTTGATTTTACTGTTGAAGACCAATGTTGGGGGGAGGGATGGGGAGAAAAGGAATGGAACACAAATCCATGGTAGATAAAACAGATATACAGAAAAAAGTACAGTACTGTATCAAAACGTATTCGGAGTTGCCAAAATTGCTGAACTTTAATCACAATTTTTGAGAGCTTGATGTGAAACAACTCACACAAATTTAGCAACTCATTTAGAAATACTGTCTCTACTGGTCTATGTGTTAGGAAGAAGAAAAATCATCAGTTGGTTCCAGATGGATTATCAGCAATACATTGATGATAATATCTAGCTGTATATCTCCACTCCAGACTATAGCAATAGCAACAGCACTTAGACTTATATACCATTCCATAGTGCTTTACAGCAGTGGGTCCCCAACCTTTTTGGCACCAGCTACCAGTTTCGTGGAAGACATTTTTTCCATGGACCGGGGTTTCACACGCTACCTACTGTAGATCCTGCCTATGTGCAGATGAAGCTTCTTTCACTTGTGTGGCTGGGTTCCTAGCAGGCCGTGGTCCGGTATCGGTCCATGGTCCGGGGAGTTTACTGCATTCTCTGAGTGGTTTAAAAATGTCAACAAATTACCCCCAGCAACCTGAGTCCTCATTTTACTCACTTTGGAAGGGTGGAAAGCTAAGTCGACCTTGAGCGCTGAGCCTTGTCAAGATTGAACTCCAGGCTGCGGGCAGGGCTCCCTATGCCAGAGAAGTGGTGAAACTACTTTTAGTTCATAGATTTTTAGATAGTTCTATATTTAACCTTGAATGGAGGCATTGCCATAAATGGATACACAATTATTTGAACCTCTTTCTAGACTTTAGCTCTTTTTTGAGTAGCAAGTGGCAGTTATGGCCAGGAGAGTCTCTGCTTGTTTTGTTGATTCACTAGTGCAACCTTTTCTAGACCATTGCAATATATACCTCATCCTTTATTCTCTTGGTTAAAATATGACATTTCCAGGTGACGTCTGCAATTTGCTTTTACCTGAAGATTATCCTTGGAAAAATTCAGAAGCTGCAGCTGGTGCTGAATGCAACTGCCTGCTTAGTAACCAATGAAAGCCAATATAATAGAGTGATTCATATGTTGCAATGGATGCACTTACCGGGTGGTGCGTGTGTATGGCTGTTGAGTTGGTCGACGTAATGCTGCTTAATTAGTGTTTATTTGTTCTGACATTTTACAGGTATTTATTATTTTATGGATGTGAGTTATCCAGTACCTGTAATGTAGGTGATTATACAAATATGTGTAAGCAAGCAAGCAAGCAAGCAAACAAACAAACAAACAAACAAACAAACAAAAAAGGAAAGAGGCAATGCCATCTCCTTTGAAGCATTTGGTTCCTTATAGTCTTCTGTTATCACCTTCCTGTACAGAATTCACTTCTGAGGAGGATGCAGAAGAGAGCAAAGCCAAGCATAAAAAATATTATGCTTCACAACATGCGAGTTTTGCATTCTACTTCGTAACCAGTGCAAAATGTTGGAATGTTATATTAAAGCCAAAAGCAGGGTTGTTCAGAATTCATTCATTCATTCATTCATTCACTCTGTTTGTTTGTTTGTTTGTTTGTTTGTTTGTTTAACAAATTTATATAGCCACCCATAGGTGACTCTGGGTAGCTTACAATATTTAAAAAAATAAAAAATCCAACACATAATAAAACTGTTAAAAACCCTACCCCCACCCTCAATGGCAGCAACAATGCTATCAGATTAGCCACTTGATTGGCTCCAGAATAAGCAGAATATTGGCAAAATACTCATCTCTTCCTGTTGCTATTGTCTAATTTTTTTGGCACAAGGCTGTCATCATTATCATCATTTGGGAAATGGAAGGCACAACAACAACAACAGCAGCAGCAACAACAACAAAGTAGAAACTTCATGACATCAGTGAAATAGTGGAGATATTTTAGTTTATTGTTTGACGTTTCAGGAATTTGGGACTCTAGGTTTATTTGGGATTCTAGGTGTGCTGAATCTAACAAAGGATTTGTGTATCATACCATATTTCCAAAGGTTTCTGCTGGAAAACAATAAGGAATCAATTCTAGGGGTTGGTCTGAGAGTTCCATGTGCTCACTTTGCCCACCCACTTCTAATCTTTCACAAGGCCCTTGAATGATAAAGGAGAGTAAATGTGGTTTTATTGTTGATGACATTATGTAATATAAAGGCTGATCTAAGATTTCCCCTTTCTTCTTGAATTGCTTAAGCTTACCAAGCCTTACCTGTGGCAGTCCAATATAATTGATATCCAGATGTTTACCATTGGATCTGCAGCCATCGTGGCTCTTCCAGGAGAGTTTACGTATGAATTTATATTCTGTCTTTATAAGATCATTCCTAGGCATACTTGGTATTTTATGGTTAGCTTAGAAAAAGAAAGCAGCTTTATTTAGGAAAAGCTAGTTCTGGAGTGGGAAATATAGAAACACAGTCAAGACCAGTCAGAATTGGTGTGATAGATGGAAATTCAGGAAACTGAAACCCCCATATATTCTACCTATGTACTATAAAATTAACAAAGAATAAAGTCAGTTATTGACATTACAATATTCTTGAGCTAATTTAAGGTGATTAAGATGCAATCCACCATTTTTTGGGGGTGAAAGTCCCATTAAATTAACTGAGTCTTGAGTAGCATGTTTAAGCCCTAATTTTTTTTAAAAAATGTGACAAGTTAATAATGACTCAACTATTTGGTTAGTTTCCATAGATTTCCATTGCATCAGAGCAGATAGGAAACTGTTTTGGTATTCTCTTGCTCAGAAATATCAGTGATTATAAGTTTTTCGTAAAGAGAATAATTTAACAACCTTCTTTGAGAATCAACAGCCCTTTAGAAGGGTATGGAAACTGATCCTCCTTTTGTGTGTGTGTGTGTATGTGTCTTCCAGGACAATGGCTGGCCGAAGAGTCCGTGAAGCTGTGAAAAAAGTAAGTTGGCAGTTTTAGAATAAGAAAGGAATTAGAGATTGGTGGTAGAACAATTTACTTGCAATTTTTAAAGGACTCATTCAACTTGATAAAAGAGGCTTTGTCTTTGGAAGAAGTTGAGAAATTCTTAGCAGTGGACTATGACATTCCTGCATATACAGGTAATCCTTGACCATTCATTTAGTAACCATTCAAAGTTACAATGGCGTTGAAAAAAATGACTTACAACTGGTTTGCATACTTGCAACTGTCACAGCATCCCCATGGTCATGTGATCACATTTTGGATGCTTGATAACTGGCATGCATTTATGACAGCTGCAGTGTCCTGGGATCACATAATCACCATTTGGGACTTTCTCAGCTGGCTTCTGACAAGCAAAGTCAATGGAGGAAGCTAGATTTGCTTAACATCTGTGATTCATTGAACAACTATGGTTGTTCCCATAATAACCCAGCAAAAAATGTCATAAAATTGGACATGACTCAGGCAACAATCATTTCACTTAGCAATGGAATTTCCAGCCCCAATTGTGGTTGTTGTAAGTTGAGACCTACCTGTATTAATGAGTTAAGGACTACAATGTTGTGAACATATATGAATGTCTTGTCCTTCATTACATAGTTAACTTACTAACAAACTGCAGCTCTGTGATTTTTTTAAATAGCAGGATTACCATCACTGCAAAAACAAACAAGCAAAAAACCCAACAATTGTTGGAGAAGAAAATCTCCCATGGAAAAAAATGTTCATGTGTTTATTGAGGAATTTCAAAAGGCGGCTGTGTGTATTTTAATTTTTGTATCACAGTGGCAATTTGTTTTTAATTTGTCTTATGACTGGCCAGACAAATTGAATAAATAAATATATTTATTCTCAACTTCTAGAATAGATGGATTTTTAGATTAATTTCTCCTTTTTTATGGCCCCTCAATTTCTCCTTGACTTCATAATTGTCTAATACCCAAGACTTAATTAAACTGAGGCAATACTTTTTTGTGATTAAAAAATGGTTCATTTGATAAGAAAGCAAATAATTTCTTTTAAGTTTATTTTGGGAATAAATTAATATTGACCACATTTATTTGCTGTTATAATAATAATAAACTCTTGGAAACACTAGGAATAAACTCTTGGTTCTTATCTCCTGTTTTACCTAGTTCTTTCAGGTAATTCTCCCGCTTCCTTTCCCACTCAGGTGCTTACTTCACATCACATTGCAAGCAATCTCCCACTCAGATCACAAACATCACAAATCCACGACCTGTGTATGAAATTACAGCACTGTAGCCTTTTATTTTCAGAGCTCTGCTTATTAGGGATTAGAATCTAAAGACTGATGAAGGGATTGAATTGCAAGATGTTTTCGTTAGACAGTAACTGGTTGCAGGATTTGCTTGTTTTACACTGTGCTTGGCGAAGTTCTTGTAGTGCATGATGCAATGAATTTTGTTCTTTAATTCACATGGGTTTTTTCACAATTTGATGCTGATTCAGCTGAGAGGGAGTAACTTGCCTAAAGTTATCTAACTGGCTTCCATGCTTAAGAGAATCCTAGAACCCGGACTCTCCTCTTCTTTTTCTAGAAACTTAAAATATTATATCTTATTAGCTCTCTAGAATATCTTCTTAGAATTTTGAATTTCTTCTAATTCAGGGATGTATTATGTTATGCTCAAGAAAATCAAATGGAGAGGAGAACATATATGGTGTTGATACCCTTAAGCCTTTTGCTTCTGGCTGCCTTCTCAGCAAATTTTGGGTGCTGCACATAAAAATATTTCAAACCTAGAATTGTCCCACCCCACTCGACTGCACTGTTCTTTAATCAGTGCTCAGAAGCCCTCACAACCTTTTGTGCAATTGTGATAGCCTTAAGTCCCTAGTGTTTACAAGTAGACCTACAGTATATAGCATACTTATATGATCAATATGACTAAATACATAGGGTGGACTAGAGGAGAGAGGAAATAACTGTCTTCTTCTTGAGAAGACTTGTTTGGTCAGTTCAATAAATCAGTTTTATAATTGGACCTTGACTATATTTATATTTGATCCCTTTGGGTAACAGGAGATTTTAGAGTAATTTAAATATGGCAAATATGTGGCCTCTTTGCTGTTTAAGTATGGGGCAAAGCTTAGGATATCTGATTCTTTTCAATACGAGTTCCTTACATATTGGTATCTTTGCTTAGTATCTACAAGTTTTCATTTAAACAGAAAGGAAAATATTTCTTTCTTCCAGGCTCTAATACATGACTGTTTTATTTGCCAGCAGCTTTCCTATTAAATTTTAACATGTTTCTGTTTGCTATTGTGATCAATGACCATAATAAAAATAGTCTGTTCTAATTATTTTAGGGCTGCATCTTTGACATTTATCATATTTTCCTTTTTTTCTAAATTGCTAGCCATGGTAATAAAACTTGAACACGTGATTAAATGCTCTATGCTTTCAATTTAGAATTTCTTTTCTTTTCTTTTCTTTTCTTTCTTTCTTTCTTTCTTTCTTTCTTTCTTTCTTTCTTTCTTTCTTTCTTTCTCTTCTGTTTCATAGGAATTTGAAATTCAAGGAAAAGCAGGAATGGATATTATAATTTCAGGATTGTGCAGCATTTACACCCACTATATATCTACTTATGAAGAATATCAGGTAATTAACTGATAATATTCTTAGGACAAAAATAGTAGCATTAATGATTTATGGCTACAGTTTGTAGAAAATTTAGTTTTTTGTTAGGACTATGAAGCAGTCATGAATTCATAGATCTTCATGTTTCACTTTGTAGGTTCAACGATATGAAGGAGGGTCCACCATTTTTGGACCACACACGCTTTCTGCTTATATACAGTTATTTGAAGGTCTGGCCAGAGCGCTTGCTACGGTAATAACAAATTGCAACTATGCAGTGTTAATGAACTAAGATCTCTGATTCTTAGTTATAAGTGGAAATAGGGTGCAATCTGAAGAGGTGTACATATGATAGAAGGTTTCAAAAGGGCTGCATTCTAATGTGGAGATGTTCCATCAATATAAATGCCAAACAAGCTATTTTGTTCTTCATCTCAGCACCTCCTATTGCCCATAAGTGTGCTGTTAATCAATGCTGACTATTACCTACCATCCTTGTAAAAATTGTTCAAGAGAATTATTATTTTTATCAAGTATATTCCAAGAGTAAGCAAGCAACAAAGTGTAAATGCTATTGCTTCTATAGTTTACTATGGAAGTTTAAAACTAGACCTGTATATGGGACAACTCGCCACGACCAATTCACCACGGGACAACTCACTGCAGGACAATTCAACAATTCAATTTAATTTTTTAAATAATTAAAACATTATTTTAATTTTTATCACTCACATTTCATTTTGTCCCTCCTTTCAGTGGTGGGATTCAGCCAGTTTGCACCACTTTGGCAGAACCGGTAGCTAATTTTTTGTTGCCCAGGCCCAGAATGTACTTCCGGAAGCGGCATCCACATAGAGAACCGGTTGTTCACATATTTGAATCCCACCACTGCCTCCTTTGGCATCCTTCCTTTAATGATTGTATTCTATTATTCCTAGTATATTATTAGTGTAACTCTTGTCCCACCACAAGTTGTCCCGTGGTGAATTGGCCATGGTAAGCTGACTGTGGTGAATTGGTTGTTGTGAGTTGACCGTGGTGAGTTGGCTGCTGTAGACCCATTTCAAGGAGCCTATAAATGAAAACAAGGGGAAACGAAAAGAAAAGAAAAATAGAACTGAAGATTTGGAAGAGGATACAGAAATACTGAGCAGGATCTCTCAACTCCATGCAGCAGAATATTTTTTATTATGTAATTCCTCTCCTTTTTTCCTTTGCTTTATTTCCTGGTTAAGATTAAAGCACCTTTCATTCCAAACTGAATTACATTTGTTTCAGAATACCACTCAAGATTTACCAAATATTCCAGAGCCACCCATCTTAAACATAACAAACCTGAATTTTTTGCCACCTATTATTGATGCAAAACCACTTGGTCAGACTTATGGTGATGTTCTACAAGATGTTCAACCAACATACAAAATGGTATGTGTACTTCTTCCTCTCCACCCCCAACCATTTTATTTGGCTGTACTTTTAAACCTTGTTTAATCATATAATTTTGATTGGCAATATACTAAGCTCATTACATACAGTAACAGTAGCGCAATGTTCCAAGAATTCCCAATGGTGCAGCAATGAAGACATTAGATTAGGATCAGGATTAGGAAACCTCAAATATGGAAGCTCACAGAGTGCCTTTAGATCAGATCTCTCTCTCAACCTAGTCTGTTTAATTTATTATGCAATTTATACCAATTTTTTCTGATAAAAAATATTCGAGGCACAATGACAAAATAAAGTGCAAAATACAAACACAACAGTAAAATGAAAATAAGGATCGTGCATTTTCTGCTCTAGCACCCACCCAAAAAGAAGGTGCCAATTCTTCTGGTCTTTTGTAAGGCCTTAGAGGCCAGGTTCTGGACCTGGGGCTCCAGAGGGGGCCATCTCCTGCCTGTATTAGTAATTGTTGATTCTGATATCTTCCTCGACTGCTTTGCATTTTAGTTTCTTTACTATAGTTTTGCATTTAATATTGTTTGCCACCCAGAGTCATTTGTTGAGATGGTCAACTATACAAACTGATAAAATATATGAGGACCCCAATTGCCAATTAAAAGCTTAGGGGGAAAAAACACTTTCTAAACACATCCCAAGAAGAAGGATCAAATACACTGGAAATCTGCATCTTTCAAACACATCAGATGGACCAAAAAGATTCCATAGCTGATGGTATCAAATGCTACTGATTTATTTATTTATCAAATTTATTTGCCATCTATCTTGCAATATTCAGGACAATTGGTAGGACTGAACTCCTTCTCCATTTGGTGTAATTTCTAGTATAGGTCATTCATAGAGGTGACCAATACAGTCTCAGTACCATATTCTAGACGAGGGTCTAATTGAAATGGGTTCATTAAATCAGCTTCATCCAAATGCATCTGGAATGTGAGGACATAACTTCCTCAATCACCTTACCTGGACAGCAATATTTGAGAGTAATTTATAATTATAGAATTAGGGAGGGATCTTCCAGTACAAGTCTTGTATCTTTCTCCTTTTCTGGGGTAGATACCTGTCCCTCACTCAATATGCTGGTGATCCCTAATTGTACATCTCAAGCCAGGCTGCATAGGTGAAGCTATCAGTGTATTAACCTAGACTCTGGAGGCTATTTAGCTTGTTGCGGAGAAACACTCAATTCTAATGATGGAGTGTTGCATTTCTCCATTTAAGACTAGTGAATAATTTGGGGTTCCTTCTGAACTCACAGCTGCTGCTCCGGGGGTACTCCTGGACAGCCTCTAGCCACTGAGTCAATACACAGACAACTTCGTTTGTGCTCCATTTGTATCCTTTCTGTTATATCCTGGGCCTGTGATTGACAGAGCAGGTGCAGGAAGCTGCAGAGAGACCCGGGCAGACCACATGGCTGCCCGGGCCAGACAGGCTGTCTCCAGCCTATTGCGCATGCGCAAAGCGGGAAAATATGTTGCATTTATTGGCTGACGCTGTTTCCTGCAAAAGGGTATAAAAGGGATCCGCGCCTTTTGTGTTGGTTCTGTTGAAGCTTGAATAAAGAAGCAACTGTTGTTACACCTGCCTCATCTCAATGCCTTACCAACGCACAGAACAGAACATTGGCGACGAAGGTGGGATCGTGCTGCAAGGAAACAACAACAAAAGAATACTAGGCTGACTCACCACAGGAGGCCGAAGTGCTTGGAAGTTTGGCATTCCGACTTGTGCGACTCTACCTGCCAGTACGAAAACGCTGGCGGGGAGATCGGCAAGATTCGCCCTGGAACCCCTTCGCAAGCCTGAGCAGCACGAGGCATTGATGAGGCCGCCAAGGAGGAATGATGGCTAAGATAGGGCATTTATCCGAATTTGATACAGCGCACCCTGAACGTTGGAATTCATACATTGCCAGAGTAGAAAACTACTTTCGGGTAAACCAAGTTTGGGAGGACGGGCTCAAAGCCGCAATGTTACTTTCTGTCTGTGGGCAAAAGACATTTGATATTGCTGAAAATCTGGTTGTCCCAGCACCTCTGGAATCCATCGCTTATACTGAGCTTAAGAAAATGTTAAAGGAACATTTTGAACCGAAGCTATCGGTGATTGCATGGCATCATGCATTTGAGCAGTGGGACCAACGTCCAGGAGAGTCTGCTGCGGACTTTATTGCCGCTCTGCAGCAAGCTGCAAGGCCCGGTGAGTTCAAAGACTTAGAAGAACGGCTGCATTATTGGCTAGTTTGTGGCTTGAGGAGCCGAGAGCTGCAGCAAAAGATCTTTGCAAGGGAAGACGTTTCCTTCCAGGATACGCTAAGGGAGATCATGGCCGACGAAGCAGCAGGAGGAGCTGTTAAGGCCTTGCGGCTTTCCAAGAACCCTACAAGTTCAGGCTCAATCCATCAAGAGGTTACTCGAGCGGTATCCGAACTGGATTCCGAAAATGAGGTCGACCATCTGCAGCAGCCAGCAGAGAGAAGGCCCCAAGAGCGAGCTGACAAGGGGTCTAACAAGGCAGTTCTATACCCTCGGTGTTTTGGATGTGGAGGACGCCACAAGCGCTCCGACTGCCGTTATCGCTCTGCTACTTGCCGGGCATGTAGCCAGCAAGGCCACATAGCCGCTGTCTGTTTGGGTCGCAAGAAAGACCGTCCATTGGAAGAATTGCCTCAGAAAGGTATCAGGGTCCCCAACCAGAATAGGGTGGGTTTCTGCATGTCCCGCAGGAGCATTTTGAGAACAGGCCCACCGGCCATTGAAGAAAAAGCTGCATATCGATGTCAAATTGCAGGAGGTCCCCTTAACAATGGAGCTGGACACGGGTTCAGCTCTGTCAATCATTTCCCAGAACACTCTCAAGCAGATCTGCTGTAGAAGCGGCCAGAGAGTTAAACTCAGGCCGTCGAATCTTATCTTAACAGACTTCCAGAATTCCTGAGTCAGTGTGAAAGGGGAGGCCATGCTCAGAGTGCCGCATAGGCAATTCAAAGGGTTTCTGGACATTGTTGTGGTTGAGGGTGACTGCACTAGTCTAATCGGACTCGATTGGTTCGAGGCACTTGGGATTCAAGTGACTGGGCTACACAGCTTGCAAACAGCAGGCCTTGTGGAAGTTTGCAAGGAGTTTGCTGATGTGTTCAGCCCAGAGCTAGGGTCGTACAAGGGGCCTCCCATTGCTTTGTGGTTAGATCCCTCCATTGCACCGATTAGGATTAAGCCTCATTGGGTGCCTTTTGCGCTTAAGAAAAAGATTAATGAAGGAGCTGGATAAACTGCTACAGCAAGGTATTTTGGAACCTGTGGATAGCAGTCCATGGGAAACACCCATAGTCACTCCACTCAAGGCCAACAGGGAAGTCCGCATTTGTGCTGACTATAAATGCACGCTAAACAAAACATTACAGTAGCACTCTTATCCGGTGCCTGTGGTGAGCCACATTTTGGCCTCACTTAAAGGAGGCCGAGTTTTCGCCAAACTCGATTTGGCTCAGGCCTATCAACAGCTACTGGTTGATGATGCAACGGCAGAGGCCCAGACGATCGTAATGCACCGGGGAGCTTTCAAAGTCAGAAGACTGCAGTTCAGGGTTAACGTAGCCCCTGGCATTTTCCAAAGTGTGATGGAGCAAACGCTCCGTAACATTCAGGGAGTTTGCCAATATTTCGATGATGTCCTCATCGCAGGGGAATCACTCTAAAACCTGGCTGAAAGGCTTTGGTCCGTTTTGCTGCGTTTCCGTGAAGTGGGGCTGAAGCTTAAGCAGGAAAAATGCAAAATTGGAGTAACTTCCACTGAATTCCTGTGGTTTCGCATAGATGCTGAAGGCATCCATCCTGCTGAATCTAAGCTCAAAATGATTCAGCAGGCCCCAAGTCCCAAGTCGAAGAGCGAGCTTCAAACCTTCCTTGGGCTTCTAAATTTTTACCATTCCTTCCTCCCTCACAAGGCTGCAGTGGCAGAGCTGTTAGACCGGCTCTTGGACAAACAGGCTCTATGGAAGTGAACACAAGTCCATGAAAGGAGTTTTGCTGAGGTCAAGGCATTGTTGTCTTTAAATGCTGTTCTCGCTCATTTCAATGAGCAGCTGCCGGTGTGTATAGCCTGCTATGCATCCCCTTATGGGATCAGGGCTGTCTTAAGTCACCTCAAGGCTGATGGAACACAAGTTCCTGTAGCCTACTATTCAAGGACTCTGTCTTCTGCTGAGTGTAATTACACACAGATAGACAGAGAAGGCTTGGCCATAGTGGCTGGCATAAAAAAGTTCCATGACTTTTTGTATGGTCGCCATTTCACGGTCTTTACAGACCACAAGCCACTGCTGGGGTTGTTCACAATGAACAAGCAAACCACACACATAATTTCTCCTAGAATGTTGAGGTGGTCAATTTTCCTTTCTGTGTATGACTACTCCCTGGTTCACAAATCAGGCAAAGAAATGGGCCATGCAGATGGCCTTAGTAGGTTGCCTCTACAGCTTGTAGAATCAGATCCTGCTCCAACTAACCACATCCTGGCTATCCAGGATTTGCCTGAGTCTCCCCTCAATGCAGGGGATGTGGCTGCAGAAACAGCCACTGATCACACACTAACACGCGTGTTGAACTGGGTGCTGTCAGGATGGCCTGACATGTGTCCTGGCACCACTTTCCAGAGTTTCTGGAAAAGGAAGCATGAGCTATCCACCTTTAAAGGCTGTGTTTTGTGGGGTAGCAGGGTAGTGATCCCAACCTCATTGAGGACTAGAGTCCTGCAGTCTCTGCATGAAGGACATCTGGGAATAGTCCGGATGAAGGCACTTGTGTGCAGCTATCTCTGGTGGCCTGGGCTTGATAAGGAGATTGAGACCCAGGTCCAGGGGTGCCACGTTTGCCAACAGTCCAGGCCTGAAATGCCATAGGCTCCTATACACAGGTGGGAGGACACACATGCTCCTTGGTCGAGGGTTCATATCGACTACGCTGGCCCCTTTCAGGAGCAATTCTTCCTCATTGTTGTGGACAGTCACTCTAAATGGCAAGAGGTCATTCCAGTGTCCACCACGACTACTGCCAGGACCATCCAGGTGCTGAGAGGGATCTTCACCTCTCATGGGCTGCCAGATGTCCATGTCTCCGACAACGGGCCTCAATTTACCTCTTCGGAGTTCCAGGCCTTCCTGTAAACCAACATGATTCGTTATGCTACTTCGGCACCCTTTCATCCGGCTTCCAACGGCCAAGCTGAGTGCATGGTGCGCAGGACCAAAGACGCCTTGAAGAGGCTCACTCGCGGGAGCTGGCACCACAGGTTAGCTGGTTTTCTCCTTTGCCACCACACCACACCTTGCACAGCTACAGGCAAAAGCCCAACTGAACTCCGCTGGGGTCGCCGTCTCATTACCAAACTGGACAGGTTGCACCCAAACCGGGTGGCTTCACAGGTGTCACAGCGCAGGCACCGAGGAGATTACAGGTAGGCGATCCTTATCAAGCAAGGAACTATGGACCTGGACATCTCTGGGTGACAGGAGTGGTCTGCAAGGTCACTGGGCCACTGTCATACGAAGTGGCCTTGGAAGATGGTCGCATGCTGCGTCAGCACATTGACCAGCTGCGATGGAGGCTACCTAGTCACCCTTCCGCTCCTGACTCTGCTCTTGGGGGGGGGAGAGGACCACGATCACGATTGTGGATCTCAGTCTCTCTGCGAAAACAGGAGGTTGTACTCTCCGACTAGGGGTTTTGCCAACAAGGCAGCTCCTGACTCTGGGGTCCATGGGACACTGCACGCAACCGGCTTTTCATGCCACTCCTACTGCTGGCCTTGTGCCTACGGGACAATGCTCCCAACAGGGGTCTCTCACTGACCTGGGGAATTCCACCCCACAAGAAACTCTTGTCTGGGCTTCCGGAAAGAGCCAGCCGAAGTCAAATGGACAAAGGGTTGGGCTTACTGGACCAGGCCAGTCAGCAAGATGCGGGTTCACCTGTATCAATTGGGCCTCAAAGTCCCAGTCTGCTGAGCCTGGCAGGCGAGCTTGCAGACTGGGCACTTGCAGCAGCTCCGAGACACTCGGAGCGGGTCAGAGGCTCTCCAAAGTTCTTACAAGATTATGTAAGGTTCCTATCAGTAAGCTGGCAGACCTAAGGGTTCCCTAGAAATAAGAACATGCTAAAAAGGGTAACCTTGTAGTAGTTAAAAATAGTAGTGTATGTATTTTTAACTAAGAGGGGAGGGGTGTTATGTCCTGGGCCTGTGATTGACAGAGCAGGTGCAGGAAGCTGCAGAGAGACCCGGGCAGACCACGTGGCTGCCCGGGCCAGACAGGCTGTCTCCAGCCTATTGCGCACGCACAAAGTGGGAAAATACATTGCATTTATTGGCTGACGCTGTTCCCTGCAAAAGGGTATAAAAGGGATCCACGCCATTTTGTGTTGGTTCTGTTGAAGCTTGAATAAAGAAGCAACTGTTGTTACACCTGCCTCGTCTCAATGCCTTACCAATGCACAGAACAGAACACTTTCATTGACATTTCAGGAAAGGGGGATTATCTTCCATGTTGAATGCTGTTGTAAATGCCTGCAGTCATACTAGAAGGTTTCAAGCACTATTTCCACTCTTTAAAGAAATGCTTAGTAGGATATGTACCTGCCCAGATATATACACATCTCCTTATCCATTTGTATTTTAAGAGTTGAATGGCCACCAGAAAAGCTGCTCATTTTGAGCACAGGAAAAACTCTGAAGTTCAACAGACTTGTGCCATAGCAGAATTGATTAATTTGTACCATGTATGTGATTTACAGTTCGTTTTCTCAAAACTCATTCCATCTCTTTCACCCAGGGGCAGATTGCTGAAGTGCATTTTGTAGGAGCAAATCCAAGGAGTTCTACAGAGTATATGGTGAGATATGAAACAAATGGAAAGATTACTCAGAAAAATTGAGCGAGTCCTTAGATTTCCTGCATTTGACCAAATAATTCTGAAATGCAATTTCTATTTATTTCTCCCTTCCCCCCCTAGATAATCTAAGGAGGCCCTCTAATCTTATTATAGTTGCTGAGGAGCTATTTTATGTTTGGATATTTCATATCTCTATCACTGATTATTTCTTCCAGTCCAATTTTACTTTCCTTACGGTGGAGAAATATGATACCATTTCTAAAGGCTGGCAAGTGCTGCATGATGATGCCTCATGGGACACTCGGTAAGCAATCCTAACAAGACTTTATATATTTCAGCAGATATTCAAATTGTGCTACATTTTTCAAAAACAGATGCACAGGATCATCTGATGTCACTTAGGTCTTTTTCAAATATCGAAACGGTACAGGGAGGTCAAAATCAGGACCAGGACCTGCATGGAAAGAGGTGTAAAGGTTAATTTTATTGTGTGGCACCTCTGGGAGGTTCTTTTTTCTGGTGAAATAATACTTGAAAGTAGACAATTATGAGAGGATAGAGCTTGGGAGGAATGATTTCAACACTTTTCTAAGCACAAGTTGAATCAGTACAAGCATAGGATCTGGCAAAAGACATGGCATGCATCCATCCACAGGCTCTATGGACATGCGCTAGTGTTAATTGTAGTGGAGAGGAGAAACAAAATGTACACAGATAAACCTTACATAGATAAAAAATATAATGTACTGTAATAAGGAGGCTATTTCAGTTCATCTGTGAGCTTTGAAGTTGAGAGGTTGAGTTGTGTAAATATAATAATCCAACCATTTAGTCATTGATATATGATGTAATCATTCATTACATTTATATGATGTAATCATGCATATTAGGTCATTAAAGGCTTTGGCCATAAATGAAAGATAATTTCCAAGGTTGTTGTTTTTCCAAAGTTTTTTTTAACACTCTTTCCCTGAAAAGATTGGCTTTGAAAGTAAAAGGCAGGTAAAAAAAAAAGAATTAAAAATAAATAAAAGTACAAGGCAGGTAGTGTTCCTCCTTTCCCCACAATGAATGAATTCCTATAACCATAGGCTATAATGTAAGGCATGAATGTGTAGAAGACTACTTCCAGTTAAGATCATTTATTGTTCATGTCTATACACAAAAATTTAGTCAACTAATGGTCAGCATTAAATTGGCGGTAGGTAAGAGTTAATGGAATTCAAGAGGATTTGGACTTAGACCATTTGTGGAAACTCTAAGCCAAGGTTCTTCAAACTTGGCCCTTTTATGACTTGTGGACTTCAACTTCCAGAATTCCTCAGCCAGGCAAGTTTGAAGACCCCTGATCTAGGCTGATTCCACTCTTGACTCCACCTCTTGTCTTTGCCTGTCCTTCTCCTAATATAATCCAGTATGTTTTTACCTTTAATGCTACATTAACATGTGGTTTCTCTGACTTTGTTCTTGACTTTCATCATCACCATATCACTGTGTTCTAATACAGAAGGTGTTGGATTAGTACTTGGCAAAACCATAGACAAGTTCACCTCACTATAGAAATTTTATGAGAAACCTCCTTTTCTGTCCCACAGAATTTGGTAGCATCTTCTTCTTTCATTCTATGGAGATCTGAATTTGGAAAGGGAAGAATTTCTAGAAATTGTCTGTATTCAGTTCAGTATTCCACTAATGAAAGTGGAGGTGTTTTCTAGTCCACAGAATGTATTGTGTCTTCAAGGCATTGAATTTTGAGAGACATTTTGCTAGGTTTTTTATTGAGTTTATTTTGTTAAATAAGTGGCACTGCAGTGTGGATATAAATGCAGCATTTTTTTTTCAGAAATTGAGAAATCAGACTATATGACTAAACCCTTCATATTGAAATCTGAGATTTATCTGCATTTAACTGAGTCAAGCCTGCATTATCTTCAAACAATCACTTTCATTCATGATACTTTTTTCTCATCAGGTTGATCTGGAAGAAAGGCAAGGTGAGCCAAAGTACATCTATAATAGAATGGCACATCCCAAGGACCACTGAATTAGGAAAATACAGAATACAATATTTTGGGCACAGTAAAAAATTATTTGGTTCAGTCCAGGCATTTAATGGATCATCTTCAACATTTGAAGTTTCTAATTGATAATTTTCTATTGAAAAGCATCAAGTTGTCACTTTCAGCCTGAAAAAAAGGATAATCTAAAAACCCCTTTATTGTCCATTAAGACTTTGCAAGTTGCTATAGCAGAGACGGAAAATATACTATCTGTTTGGCTGTGTGCAGCCTGCAGTTCCCAGTACTATCAAACTTTGGAAACTCATTTTGTTTGCATACTACTAAAAAATTGTTTTGTCAATTTTGCAACACAAACCCATCAAAAGCAAAAGAGGCTCCTAAATTAATGCCCTATTCTTTCCAAAATAGTCACTGCATCACCACCATGATCAGTGATGCCCTCTAAACCTTCTCTGAAATAAAGACCTTGCAAAAACATTCTTCATATCTTCTCTTGGGAAATCTGCATTAAAGATTTGAAGGAGCAAACTACAATATGGTGTGAATCCTTTTGCTGCAATTTCTGAAATCTAATGTATGTATGTTGGTTGAGGACTCCATGTTGGATGAGACCCATCACAGATAAATAATTTGGCTTACTTGGAATTATCAACAACAGAACCAGTAATTAAGTCTAATCAACAATTTGGAATGTGCTTTCTGAACTTTGGTAGGTTGATTTGGATGAAAAGGTGGGTTACTTTACCTTGCGCTGAAACTGATGAAAGGACACAATCAGTTTGTGTACAAATTGTTTAAACTACGTTTGCAAATTAATTCAACAAAGAGTTTGGTTTCTAAACCAAAGATCAGCGAGCAAAATACTTTGTTTTATCAAGCAACAGTGAAAATTGAAAATGACCACAACATCAAAAGTACATAATTCAGAACCAAGAAGAAGTGTGTCCATGCAGCTGGATATCTTCAGTGGGACTGCTACTAGTGAGATGATCCTGAATAAAATGCCTTACAAATTGTCTACACATAAACACTGCTTTGGAGATACACTTGGGGGCATAAGTATCCAATAGTCAATTAATCCCTCTTTCCCTCCTCTCTCTCTTATATTTCTAAAACATGTTTGTAAGAGTTTGGATCAGCTGCTGGCAAAATATCCTCAATGGGAGGAAGAGGAAGGGGAGGACAAGTCTTCTGCCATTTTCTTTTGATTTTTTTTTTAAAAATATGTTCAAAGTTGAATTTAAATTCCTACCAAGACTTAGCAACACAAGTGGTGGAGTTCCTGATACAGCAATTTCCAAATTCTGTTGCAGATCAGATAGTATATTCAATAGTTGAGCTAGAGATGTTGAATAAATTTCCATCAAATCCACCAAGTATTTGGCATACAGCTGAGAGAATGGCAAACATCCCCATGCAGTAATAAACTTAATGAGCCATAAGATTCCTAGCTGTTTTTATATTTTTGTAAATACAACTACATCTGCCAAATGTGCAAACATTTGAAGTCACAAAGGCTGCTTTAGGAAACAAACTTCACTAGAACAGTGTAACTACACGATTCATTAACAAGCAAGAACTCCTATGTGTAGAAACCTGTTTAAAAAGGACCTCTGAAGTATCTGATACTCCAAAGCAGGGATCTTCAAACTTGGCCCTTTTATGACTTGTTGACCTCAACTCCCAGAATTCTGGGAGTTGAAGTCCACAAGTCATAAAAGGGCCAAGTTTGAAGACCCCTGCTCCAAAGCAATGTTTCCAATAATGGCAACTTGAAGACTGGGTGGCTGGGGAATTCTGGGAGTTGTCAAGGTTGTGCTTACTTCGGCAGCACATATACTAAAGTTGCCAAGGTTGAGAAACACTGCACCAAAGGATTTGGTGAAAACCAATTGGAGCCAACACCCATTGGAGTAGCATAGGGCAGTTTTGACAACCCCACAGTGTGGTTTCTAAATAAGCCTTAATGTACTACTTTATTGCTTTATCCTTTAAAATGAGTTCTTAGTGTCTTCTTAATAACCCAGGAAAATCTTGTGACATACTTCTGTTTCACATGCTAAAAGTAATTAGAGATTAACATGACACCACTAGGAAATCCTGAAGATAACTGATTAAAGGTGTGGTTGCAACTCCTACCTCTACCAATCTCTACCAGGATTTTCCACTGCAGCTAATGCAGCCATACCTGGAAACTTTATTACATTTAAAAACATAGAAATGTACTATTTTCCTGTGGGCAGTAAAAAAAACCCACAAGCTATTGTTCCAGTTATAGACTCCTGTTGGGAAGGATATGTGTGAATGCATCCAGCATCAATAATGAACAGAATGGATTTCAAATGCATTGAATAGTAAACCTCTGACCTCCTCAGTCTTTCATAGCCAATTTCCAGTGTATATCTAATCCAGGTGAAAGCTTGTTCTTTGCCACAAAATAGAAGACATGTTACACTGGGCCCTAATCAACAAAATGAAATTCAGCATAGAGAAAAGTACTGTCAGATCCCCAAATCCTTATTGTTTCCCCTGCATATGTACTCTAGTTTTGGGGCCTGCCATTCTGAGGGGGGGAGGGGGAATTTGCTTTCGCTTGGGATAATTTTTGCTTTCTACTTTTCCTCTCCCACCTCTATCCACTTGAGCAGGCATGTCAAACTGCCGGCCCACGGGCCGGATGCGTCATGCCGAAACCGCACCCACCCCATTGCTGGCAATTGGGAAAAAGTCGCAATACGTCGCACGACGTCACAAGACGTTGCGAGTTTGATATGCCTGCACTTGAGAAAGGAATGTGTCTCCCTTATCAGGGAGAAGGTTACAGAGAAACGAAACTGGAGAAGACCTTGAGATGCATGCCAACTGTGCCAGTTAACCGCACATCATGCCACCTGTAGATTAGCTAGATTTCAAATGGACATTATGACTTTGGTGGGAGGAGGAATATTGCTAGTTTAACTATACCATTTGAGCGGGATTTTCCCCAGATCTCGCCTTGACTTCCCTACTGTCCCTAACACCTAATATAAATTTCCTTTTGAGACAATGCCTGTTTCAAGAGTTCTGCTTTCTTGGGTGGTTAGCTGAGGTGGGTCCTTACAAGTAGAAAAACCAAAAGTACAGATATAGATTAGGTGAAACCTGGCTTAATAGCAGTAACTGTGAGAGCAATCTTGGAGTCCTAGTGGATGATCAATTAAATATGAGCCAGCAGTGAGTGGCAGCAGACAAAACAGCCAAAGCAATCCTAAGTTGCATTAACAGAGGGATAGAATCAAGATCACATGAGGTATTAATACCCCTCTATAAAGCCTTAGTAAGGCCACACCTGGAATACTGCATCCAGTTTTGATCCACACATTATAAAAAAGATGTAGAAACTTTGGAAAGAGTGCAGAGGAGAGCAATAAAGATGACTAGGAACCTGGAGGCTAAAACATATGAAGAATGGTTGCAGGAATTGGGCATGGCTAGTTTAGTGAAGAGAAGGACCAGGAGTGACATGGTAGTATTCTAATATTTGAGGGGTTGTCACAGAGAGGAGAGGGTCTACCTATTTTTCAAGGCACCTTAAGGCCAAACAAGAAACAATGGATGGAAATGGATCAAGGAGAGATTCAACCTAGAAATAAGGAGAAATTTTCTGACAGAAAAATCAACTAATGGAACAGCTTGCCTTCATAAGCTGTGGGTATCCCATTACTGGAGGCTTTCAAGAAGAGACTGGACAGAAATGGTATAGGGTCTCCTGCTTGAGCAGGGGGTTGGACTAGATGACCTCCAAGGTCCCTTCCAACTCTATTATTCTGTTTATTCTGTTAACAAGGATCTCCAGAAGAATCCCTTGAAAAAATCTGAGACATATCAATGGTTTTGCAGATAAATGGAGGCCATCTAAACCAAATATGACATTAGAGGGTTTACTGTGCCATGACATATAAACCATATCTGTGTCCTCCTGTTCTGTTTTTTTTTCTTGGTGAATACAAATTATTTCTAAGAATGAGCTCATTTGCCTCATACTATGGAGATCACTTCATATTTTACATCTCCACCATCTCTATTTGCTACATTTTAATCTGTTGCAAAAGACAAACCATTTCCAGCTGAAAATTCCTCTTTCTGAGAGGAAAAAAAAACTTCCATTATGCAGCAGACTTAGCAAAATCTGATGTAGGCAAGCATTTCTATGTAAACAATGGGAGACATTTAGCATGTGTGTTATCCTTTCCTGTGGTTTACTAGCCAACAACTCTTCATTTCTTCGATTCAGTTGTCCAGTACCAAGTAAACTATGTTTGCACAACTTTCTTTCTTGGCCTGAGTGTTTCTGCCCACTGAGGAAGTGGGTCTAATTTTGGCCAATTGTGTGCAGCACAACAGCATCAAAATGAATACCATAGAAAACCTACTACAAAACTGAAAAGATGCAGTGTAGCTGCTAATTCTAAACCCAAGCCAATCTACAAGTAACACAAAAGACTAGTTCACACATTTTGACTAGTTCACATAACTTTGCAAATCATGGTTTATTGACAATCAGCTGGGTTTATGCAATGTGGTATATACCATGGTATACAAATAATAGTGGCTAGGATGTCTTTCTTTCTAAAACCTAGCAAAGTGTATAAACCCAGCTAGCAGGTCTTGAAAATATAAGTTTCCTTACTGTTACCCTTGCCACACAACTCTATCCTACATTATTAAATGTCATATCCATTCATATTCAAAGGCTAGTGACACATCCATTCAACCGGCCCAGACTCTGTTACTTTTTAGGAAGACACTGAAGATGGATGTTCCCTTGGGTGTTAGGGCCAGAGTATTGATGAGCAGGTCCTGCGAGGTGCGACATATGATGGGGCTCCCCCCAAAATTTATGTTTTCTTGCTGGGACTTTTGTTTCCATTTACGCGATTGATTATATTCTTTTATTGCAGTCCCCCTATTTTTGCAAGTTGAGCAGCCTTGTAAAGAACTTAAATGAATGACTAATCATCTCCCTGCAGAATCAAACCATTCCACTTCTTCATTCCACCATGTCAAGATTTCTTTGCATTCATAGGAAGCCAACTCTCTCTGAAGCTCAGGAGGGAATAAACCTTCAACTTCAGAAGGGGAAGTTTATCTTAAAGAGGTGTGTGGGTGTCCTTCCACCATTTAAAAAACAACATGGTCCAACAGCTGTTTTATTCCCTTGCCTGATTTATATAAGTCTATAAGCTCAGTAAAAGACGCTCTATGGTGATATGTGTATATGGAAAAAAACCCACAACCATTCGCAAGGTATCCACATATAGTGGCAGAATGGTGAATGTAGCGTTGTGATGTAGACCCATTTCCCCTCCCGAAGATCTGCTTGTCCTAAGCAGAGATGGGATTGTAGCATATCCTTTCAAATAGAGATTCCATCACAATGGCTGTCCACCATCTTGCTGGTTTTGACCCCACCTCCTCCACAGCTTCTGCTGACCATTTTCATAGATTTGATGGGAAAATAGTTGTCAGTGCTGCTAACATTGGATGTTCTTGCTTTGACAACTTATGGAGATCCAGTCTTTTTCTTTCTTATACTTTACTCTTAGAATTAGATGATACTGGGGGAAGGGGAGGAATGTGATGGGAGTTAGTTAGACATACAATATTGTAATAAGAGCTGATGAGGAATCACCAGGAAAAGAACTGGGCGGAAAGCCAGCATTTCAAACTAATTGGAGAATATGATTTATGACTGTTAGTTGTAGGAGGGAATTGTGCTTTGATTTATGTGATGAAGGGAGGGGAAATCAGATTTTGGCTTCAACTATGTACGTGCCAAAGCTATGCTGCTCGAATAAAGATTCTTTAAGGTAAACAATGCCTCAAAGTTCTTTGAAGAGTTTCATCTGTCAGAACCATGACAGTAGTCTTGTTAGAACTACAAATCCCAGCATCCCTTACCATGCGCCGTGCACAAGGAGCTTGCTATTCTCCTGAGAATTGGTGAAGAGAGGTTTTGTTTTGTTTCTGGTTAATGCAGTAGACCAGTGATGGCGAACCTTTTAGAGACTGAGTGCCCAAAAACTGGCCCCGTCCCTGCTCCACCCCCTGCCCTCCCCCCACCCCGCCTGCCCGCAGAGCCACTCACTGCCTCCAGGGCCCGCCGCAGATCGTCCAGGCAGCCCAGCAGCGCCATGGTGGCCACGCCCTCTGCCCGTGCCCTGCAGCATCAACTGTGCGCGATCGGGTGTGAGGGCAGGGCAGGGGGTGTACGCTGCCTGGCTGCCATGTCCTTGGCTGTGTTGTTCCGCGTGGGCCACACTCGGGGGTGACTCTCCTCCAGGGGGGCTGCTGGTGAGGAGGGGTTTGCGGGGGGAGGCAAGGCTGGGACAATAGCATGTGTGCCCACAGAGAGGGCTCCGAGTGCCGCCTCTGGCACCCGTGCCATAGGTTCGCCACCACTGCAGTAGACTATGCAGAAATATGGATTTGCTGATTAAAAAGGACTAAATATGGGAAGAAAGGAAGTATGAAATAACTTTATAGGAGAAATAAGTTTGTTTTACTAACTGCTGCAAAGATCATAAATCGCTTCTCAATATTTTTCTTTTTTCTTTCACTCGCACTATTTTTCACACCTCTTTATCTTCTCTTTTTTCCACTTTTATTCTATAGTATTTCTTATTTATCATTTATTTCTGTGTAAATCTTAAATACATGAATAAATAATCAAAGGGGTAAAACTGATCTTCTTGCAGACTCCTGTGACTTTCAAATACTGGGGGAAAGGTGGGAGAAGTGAAGCAAAGTGAATACCAGTGGAAACAGAAGCAGCTTTGGACTTGCTTTTTAAGCTGCAAAAAAAGACTTTACTGCTTTTAGAATTCCAAAAGGGGTGCTGCAGACTTATCAGAAATAAGGACTCCAGTGTAGGGTGGCCAGCTGGACTAGGGTTCCCCAACCTTTCTGGCTTTGTGGACTGGTGGTGGGGAGGATGGAGGGGATGGTTCTGTGCGAGCGGTGGGCAATGCATTTGCCATTCACACAAATGGTGTTTTCATGTGCTCATCTGCTGCTCATGCAAATGTGTATGTACATGCACTCGCCCACTTATGTGGCCCAGTTCTGAACAGCTCAAGGCCAGGTAGTGGGCTGCAGCCCAGGGGTTGGGGACCTCTGGAATTAGAAGACCTTCAAGGTCCCTTCCAGCCCTGATTCTCTATTGTTCCAAACACTTATTTTGAAGTTTATTACTCCAAAAAACAGAAATTGACTTTGGCAACAAAAGAATTGTGGGAAGTCAGCCTCCCAGAGAAGGAAATATTAAAAGGGCAGAAAAATATATTTCCTCAAAGGATCCTAAAGAGGCAGAAAAGCATGCCCAGTTTTTCTTAATAGCCCCAAGTCTCCCTTCCCCAAGCAGAAACCAGCTCTGCAGAAATGCAGATGTGATAATCTTGTCAGAAAGACTGGAATGAGGAAACTGGGATTAGGAAGAAAGATCCCTAGAATCAACACCAACAATTTAAGAGTCATCAGCCTCAGCCCCAGGGAGGCAGGATATAACCCTTGGGACATAATAGGATTAACCCACCATCATCAGAATACCAGAAAGGCACACTCAGACTCAGGTCAAAGTTCATGCCACAGGAACAACTCCAAACAAAAGGCTCCAAAGGGTATAAAAACCCACTCCCTACATATGCTCTCTCTCTCTCTTTTCTTCCAGAGCCATCTTTCTGTCTGGCTCTCCTCTTCAATAAACTGCAACCTTCTTTCTAAAGCAGTCGCCATGTTGTTTATTCCCGGCTTGGACTGAACCATGATGAAGACTTTTCCTTCAACAGAATGAATGAATGAAAAGAACTAACGTAAAGACAAGAAAAATAACTGTTTATATTTCACATCCAACAACCTCCTTGAAATATTGCTCACAGAACAGTAACAGTATTTTTTTTCTTTTTTATATTTTCCAGAATGCAGCAGAGCTAGGAATATTCTGTCCCCTAGTGTTGAGTCTATGGAAAATCAAGCTTTTGATTGATAGTTGAGCAGAATTACATCTGTTTTGGGATGTTATTTGCTCATTTGTAGGTTCATACAATGAAATATGTATTTTCATAAGCATGATAAATTTTATATGTATAGTATATGTGTATTTAAAACATTTAAAGTTATAGTTTCAAACATATTTTCTCAGAACAGATGTATGTACGCAATAGGACAAGTGCAGGAAAAGTTCCTGGATCAGATACTCGTGGCCCTCAGAATCCCCTCAAAACTTCCAGTGTAGTGGTAAAAAAAGAGGGACAATTCCAGTGTACCTTCTCAAATATATCTTACATAATTGAAAAGAAAAACATTTCATTCCCAGATCCCCAAATGGGGGGAAATTAGCTCTGTCCATGTTTTTAGGTGACATTATTCACTTTACATCATTACTGTATCCACTATAATCCCTAGTGAATATTTCTTGTTTCCATGTTTCTTCAATGATCCTGTTCAGATCCAGATAAGGAACTGAACAATATGGAAACTTGGAAAAGTACATGGAGAGAGTTCTGGTAAAAGCAGGCCACCCAACATGAAGCCAGCTGAGAAGATGCTGGATGAAACATTGTTGAAACATGTCAACATTCAAGTGTTTGCCATTAAAATACACATTATTTATTTGATTCTAAAATACAATAAAAGAATAAAGTATAAACAATCAAAATATAAAGAAGAATATAGAATCATACCTCCTTCCTTCCCTCCCTCCCTCCCTCCCTCCCTCTTTCTTTCTTTCTTTCTTTCTTACAGTATGGCAGCATACTGTAAGGACCCACCCCACTTTGCATCTTAAGAAGACAGAACTCCTGGAATATTTCTTCCAACAGGCATCTTTATTAAGAGAAAGCTGGATGTAGGCATTCTAGACAGGACTTGGGTTCGAGCTCTCCAATTCAAGGTTTTAAGGGATCCCCCATTAGTCCCACCCCCGTAACCCCCTTCTCCCAGCGACAATTCTAGGCATTACATTCTCACCCCCTTTTCCTCATTGCCGGGAGGAAACTTCAAAAAGGATTACATGAAAGCTAATGACCCCCATTGTTATTGTTAGTCCATTTGGTGATATCCACATTCAGTCCCTTTGAAGTAGGCTGAAGGAAGTGAGGGCCATAAAGCCCCTTTGTTCACCCCCTTCCCTTCATCGTATGACAGAATCCAGAGCAGACAGAAATGCGGGTTTTCATAGTTGATAACTAGAGATGGAATATATTTGGATTCTGACACATACCTTAATATATAAGGAATGTCAGGATGTTTTTGAAGGGCTTCTTTAATGTAGTTTTCTCCTTCTTTCATTTTGTTTATTTCTTGAAGCTTCATTGCAAGTAGAGGAACAACAAATACATCATCAGGATTCAGTTTTACTGCAAGCCTCAAAGGTTCCAGTGATAACTCTGATGGCTTTTTGGCAAAATGATCTTCCAGGCGGTATACTGTAATTGCATAGCCTGAGTTAAACTCTGGGTTTTTTGGTTCTTTTTCCAGTGCTTTTTCAAAGCTCTCCTTGGCCTTTTCGTAATACCTGCTTCCAAATTTTAGAAGCGACCAACCCTTATCACAGTAGATCTGTGGGAGCTCCATCTTATAAGAAGATGCACTTCCAAGTTGCTTGCAGATGCTTTCTACCTTCTTCATGTAGGTTTGGGATTCAGTAAGATTGCCCATGTGGTAGTGCACCCAGGCATAATTGCCCCATGTAATCAGGCTTTTCTTTTCAACATCCCCAGGATACTCTACAGGCACAGTCTCTTCAGCTTTCTGTAAGTTTTCCAGTGCTTCTTCCTTCTTGTCGTTCAGGAATTTCACATAGGCAAGAAGGTTATAATTTTGAACTTTGGATTTATTGATTAAGAACTGGATCTGCTCAGCAATTCTTTCCTCCAATTCACCGGGATGAATATGCTCTTTCTGCAACATCCATGTAAAATGGCATTCAAACTGTTGGAGAATCTCCTTTAAATCTTCCTGGGAGAGGAAACTACAGGACAAAAGAAAAGACAATGAGAGACATTTACAATTTGCAGACAAAGAAATTCAATTGAAGAGTACATTTTTATACTACTTTTGTATTACTTTTTATTTAATGTATAGAAATCAATTAGTGATAATTAGGCTATGTATCTAGATCAGGGGTGTCAAACTGCTGGCCTGTGGGCCGGACACGTCATGTGGAAGCCGCGCCCACCCCATTGCCAGCAATGGCAAAACTAGCCCGATATGTTGCGCGACATCAAGTGACGTCACGAGTTTGACATACATGATCTAGATTATATTCCTTTGTTATATTTTCCCATCATAATCTCAGGACTAACTGCATATTAAGCTTTATGCCTCTCCAAAATGTATTAAAACGTCTATGACTATAGTGTGATCAGTGTTCAGGAATTCATTGCAAAATATGAATGAACTAGACCAATGTTTATTAAAGTATGGTCCCAGAACCTCCTGAGGTCCCTCAAAACCTTCTTAAGAGACCATGAAATCAAAATTATTTATCAAATAATGAAGATATTTACAAAAATGTAAAGCAATATCATTCTTTTCATTTTTTAAAATTTGTTAAAAGATAAAGATAGTATGTAGGAAAGACCTTGGGAGATTAGGCAGAGACTCTGCTAAGGGAACACTCAGATGAGAGACAGCATGACCCACAAATGAATGGAGGGCTGGACAAGAGGTTTAAAAGAGACTCTCCCTAGTTTTTCACACTGTAGAAGAGTGAGGGAAGGGGGGGGGGGAGAAGGAGATTCTGTCAATGTAGCTTTAGAATAGAAGAGAATTAGCTCATATGGTTGTGAATCCTATATGGCAGTGATGGCGAACCTTTTAGAGACCAAGTGCCCCAAAACCGCCCCCCACCCCGTCCCTGCTCCGCCCTGCCCACTGGGCCACCCACCACCTCCATGGCCTGCCACAGATCACTCAGGCAGCCCAGCAGTGCCATGGCAGCCACGCCCTCCGCCCATGTCCCGCAGCAGCATCTGCATGCGATGGGGCGCAAGGGCAGAGTCTTGTCCCCGCTGCCCAGCTACCATGTCCTTGGTTGCGCTGCTTCACGTGGGCCGCACCCAGGGGCGACTCTCCTCCAGAAGGGTTGCTGGTGAGGAGGAGGCCGTGGGAGGACCAGGGCTGGGGAGACGGTACGCATGCCCACAGAGAGGGCTCCGAGTGCTGCCTCTGGCACCCGTGCCATAGGTTTGCCACCACTGCTATATGGTTTACAATGTGAGACTAATAATAGAGTTTTTGCATGAAAATATTTTATTTATATTAATATCTAATGCTTGAATATTAGTTTTATATAATTTGGTAAATATTCTACAAATGTGTCAGTGTTAACTTTTAGGAGTCCTGAGAGCAAAATGTTTTAAAACACTATTATTCTAGCCTTTCCCAATCTGATGCCCTCTGATAGGTTGGTTTTCAATTTTCTGTGCTGCCTGGGAATTCTGGGAGATGAAATTCAACATACAAGGCTGACTTGAAAGGACTCTATTTTTTTTTTAATTTTAAATTTTATTGAAAAGCAAAAAATTAAAAACATTGAACATGGTAACACAGATTTGACACTTATCTCATTTCACTATTACCATAAATTACTAATGAGAAAAACCTATACAATAACATCACTCTAATCACAATCTTGAATTATCTCAGTACAATAACTTCCCTGCTTTTCCCCCCACCATCTGTAAAATTTGTTCCAAATTTGGTAAAAAACCGTTTCATCCTGATTTTTAAGTCTTCTAGTTAACCTATCTAATTCTGCG